CCCCGGGCGCGCGCGGCGGGGAAGAACCCGCTTTTCAAACCGGGAAAGGCGTGCCGCTTCTTTGACCCGAAACGTGAACTGCAGCTGTGGCCGTGACCAAGCCGGAGGGACGCTCCGGGGAGGGGGGCACGACCGTCCTGGAGGCAAGGCTGGCGGAGGTGACGGAGGACGCCGCGCTCCCCCCGCTCGCAGCAGAGAGGGGCAGGTGCCGGGAGCTCATCCCGCAACGCGGCAGGAAAGGCACAAAGCGAGCATCTGCCCTAGCTGGACCTGCCGTCACAGATCCTCGCTGAACCTCTCTCACACTGACTTTGCCGAGAGCTTTTCTTGATACCTGCCCTCTCTGCATGCCCCCTCTGAAATGCTTCAGGCTGATGGTTTTCTGAGATGAGGCTCAGTTTGCAAAGACCAATCCAAGGAGCTCCTGCAGATACACAGCTGTTTGTTCTACTCTGCCTTCTACTACTGCCAACTCACAAAAGCCAAGGATAGAAATTATTCCTCTTTCCAATTCATCTCTTGTGCAGTCTTCATGGCTGATGTGACTAGAAATACAGAAATTACAAAACTGCTCTGAAGCATCCCTAGACCCTGGCTGTGGGATGTCAGTGCTTTACACTCAGAAAAAGCTGTAGCTGCTAAATATTACAGTGAGTGCTATCAAAATGGGCTCAGTATCACTTGCAGCCACATGATTACAATAGATTCCCCACAATTTTCCATGTCCAAATACTAATGCTTCTTTGATAACTGTGCTTAATAAAGGAAAGGTTTCCCTTCTGCAATCATCCTCTCTTTCAATAGCGTGGTGCACCAGGGCATCAAAATAATACATATATTATGTATTCACGTGGAGTGAAAAGGGAGAATAAAGGGATATTGTATTACCTATCCCTTTTTTCTAAGGTATAATTATAGTCTGCGAATTGATTAAAAAAAAAAGTTAAAAGGTAATAAAGTACAGAAGGGACTCCCATACACATGCCTCTTTAACATGAACTGCAACCTAGACTATAGGACTAGGAACGAATTAGGTTTCTCATTCTTTCACGTTACTATCTGGAATACTAAGACAAGGTTTTAATAAATGAAACATGTCAAGTATTAGGGCTTAAGACAATGCATAGCTATTAAATGATGTCTGTAGAGGAGGACTGTTTTAAATGAGGTTTACAGCAGCCTCACCTGAAGCGTCTGGTACAGGGCTGTGGTAGAAACACAGTCCATCCACTTACTCCCAGCTGTGCTCTACCCTGGCCATTACTATATCACTTTAAAGTCTTAAAAACATCACTTCACGCTCAGGTGCTTGCTGAGCAGAATTCTTAAGGCTAGGAAAGTGCATCCTGTCCTTTTATGAACTTCCTACAACAGCTGCTGCAAGCCACTGTTGGAGATGGGATGCTGGAGGAGATGGTACTTTGGTCTGGCCTAGTGGGGTAGATCAGTTCGCTCAGTTTAGGGTTCCAAAAGCTACTGGAGAGAATGGACCAATTTGCTATTGGGAATTTGCACTGATTGCAATCTTACAGGATGTAATCACACTCAGAATGTGCATTAAGGTTGTGCCTAGGTGTAATGCCTAACCAAAACCCACTGGGCTGGGTACAAAGCATTTCTGATGAGAGACTTGTTTTTCAGGGAGCTTATGCAGTCATACAGTCTCCACGTAACAGCCAGATGAACAACAAGTACAATAAGTTGCTAGAAAAGCAAAGAAATTTGTACAGGTAGACAGACGCCTAGATAGTATTACTGGGCTGTAGGAAAAGTAGAAAGTTTGAGAAGCAGACTAGCGTAGAATTATGCAGCATTCTGTTTACAGCAAATCAACTGATGAAGCCAGCAAAAGTGAAGGAAGTGAGAAAACAAATTAGATGGTGAAGCCAGTATACCAGGTAATATGAGCTGTACCAAGATTTTTTTTCTAATCTGTAGTGAAGG